ACAAGGCAGCATGACAACCACCTCATTTCTCCCGCCTGTCTCTAACCAAGATGGTGTGAAATCTCACGTAGGCTATACTTGTACACGCAATAGATTTTCCGCATGAAATGTAGCAGAAGCGATTTCAAAACTATTTCGGGTACTATCTCGACGAGAGGACACAGATGAGCAGACCTGATGTGACCCGAACTGATCGAGGTGCTCCGAGCCCGCGAGCTACCTGCCCATGTCCCATAAAGGATGATGATTAAAAGGCCTCCTCAAGGCACATCCCGCGACTGACTGAAGTGAAGTCGCCTCCCATTTACTAGAGAGTCCGGTCCGTGAGAGCAGAGAATGTACTACTTCTGTGGCCCAAGAAGACGCAGTAAGGACTCATGGAACGGCAGTCCTATGCTGCGCCCAGCGTTCACTTCCAGCTGTTAGATGATGATACGGCTATTTCGCTACTGATAGTGACTATTTTCTTCCCGAATAGTTAAAGAGAAGTGATAAGAGAAGAGAGCTGATAAGTCCAAACATTTCTCCTCCCCCCCCCCCCCTATCATGATTTGTTGATCGCAAAGCGTGAATCATGTCGTCCATGGCTGGATAGCATCTTCAGGGGCTTAAAGGCACATTCCGCGAAAAAATAAGGCTATGACCTCTCAAATGTGTCGGACGACCGGAAGGCGATTTTTGAGGCTGCGCTACTTTCAAAATGTGAAAAACGGCAAGAACTCCGCTAGAAGCTGGCTAATTAGGCCCATGGACACCCCTTAGGCCCATGCCGACCCTCAGCGGCTGCTAGCTACTAGCTAGTAGCCACTATGTTATCTTTCTCTATAACATTTCGGACTGCTTTTACTGCTGCTTTTCTCCGCTAATCAGATACTTAGCACTTTTTTGTGCCTATTTGAGTTCCGTTTCCCGCAATTTGCGGTCGCGAACTGTGCCTTTAAAGGCGAAGTTGTAAAGCTCTAATCCACAGCGCCCCGATGGGAAGCTGAGGGAGTTATGAGACAGACACCAAGCGATCTGTGAATGTTAATGTTCCAAGCGCTTTTCGACCTTGTGGGGGCAGGGTTAGATGTTGCATGTGGGCATTTTTCTGCGCTGATCCCTTTGTATATTATCTCAGAGGTACCTTAACCTGAAAAGTCACCTGTCACCCGTCATCAATGTCCTCATCACTAAATCTCTATGATTTGGTAGCGTGAACCACCTTGAACAGCGACGACGACTGCAACTTCCCTTATCAGCCCCTATCAGTAGTTATCGCTTCCAGCCACCCACGCCTGATGTCCCCATCTCACTCTCCATATGGCCTATCCCCTATATCATATCTTGGAACCAAGAGCTAGCTGATGCTGTCACCCGCGTTATGAATATGGTGACCTCCCCTTCTAACGCCTCTTATCGGATCTTATCAACTGATATCACTTCCTGTCACCCACCAATAGTTTCCCACCCCTACATCACTTCTTGGAACCAATGTCTCACTGCTACTGGGACCGGCGCTATGAATTTCGTGACAGACAGACGGACGCACACACACACACACACACTGACAGACATACTTAGCGAATTATATATAGTAGGATAGACATGAAAATGATTTGTTATGTTCAATTGTCGTAGAGCACAACAACTCATTTCATATTGTTGGCGGTTGTAGAATGGCATCCTATTCACAGTATCTCACCGAACTCAAAATACTTGCCCATTACCTGAAGAGGGGTAACCGGTAATGTGAGCACTTATACATCAAGGAGTGGTCTTTCTATTAGTACCACTCGCTTGACTCCTGCTTCTTCTTCTGCAATATGGACAAGGATTTTATCCGCTACCATCGGCACCGACCCCTCCAGACGCTTCCTCAAGCTCTTTCTTCCGCCACCGCCAGCATGGTAGCTGCAGATGCCAAAATGAGCTGAATGACGACGATGCCCTCAATTATCGGACAACCTTCCACGACACCAATGCTTCAAAGCGGGAGCCTACAGTTTTGATGACGAAGTGAGGTTTGGGTTACCTGTGAACTCAGATTGAGGGAGCTGCGGGTCGTGAAAGTGCTGGATGAAGAAGCTGCTTCCTCGGTCAACCCGTGCGCAAAGCAGCTACGAGATCTGAAGCGAATCCATCGATCAGGGGAAAATTTTCCGCACAGTCCGTCTTCAACGTGACAGTGCAGCCTACTCCGTCCAAAAAAGTTCGAGCCGTACCTCATGCAATAGAGCTGGATGGCTCTCCCCTTGCACTGGTGTAGCACAGACATTGCTCCTTCTAACTGCAGTTGCCTCCCGTACTCAATCGTTATGTGGACGAGAAAACCTCCATAACCCGAGTTCAAGTCAAGATTGAGATGGTGTCCAACTTGCGTCGCATTGTGAAGCGAATGGCATCCACGAGAGGTGCTCAAACACTGGCAAGGACCCCGCAGTAACATTGCTGTACAATTTTGATCTTACACTCCTCTCTATAAAAAGAAAGCCTAGTTTGAAAAAATGTGACAGAACTTTCTCCGCCAACCTAATAATTTTCTCTAGCCAGAGTAACTGAACTGGAGAGAGCATAAGCTAGTGACGTAGGTTTTTTTGTCGTCGCGGAATACTTTCTCGAACCGCGCTCCACTCTATGGGGTGCAGTCCGTGACGAATTAGATTGTCCTGACCGGATCCCTTTTCATTCTTTATACAAGGTTTGCCAACTATAACGAAATTTACATGACTTGCTGATGAATTCATTGCAACGTTTCGCAAAAGGATAAGCGAAGCTCCAATTTTGGGGAAGCAACCAGTGAATTGCCATAGGAAATACAGGCAGGTGCAAAGCCATAACGTACATTAGCGAACGAAATATCAATTTTTAGTCTTCAGCTACTATTCAACGGTAATCCAGATCTCGCAAGCATATATCTCTGGAGTGATAATGTTTCATGAGACATTCTACCAAAAGTGTGACGATGGGACGCGTTTTGTTGATGTGCTGAAGAACAAGGAATTATACCTGGAGTCAAGGCGAGTCCTCGCTGTTTTGATTGGGACCTTTCTACACGCCCCGCCTCCAAGTGGACGAGTTAGCGACACTCCTTGTCCTCTATTTCGGAAAGGTTGACGAAAACCTTCACAAACAGCGCTCAAATTCGTCTTACTTCAAGCGCGCTCAATCGCAATCCTTGTTCAGGCAGACAAAGGCCTTGTCCCCATGGCGGGTACATTCGGTGAACAAACTGCACAAGGACTGGACGACCTCAGCGCTCGCTGTGCACAATACAAAAAGGTGAGCTGGTGTGATGATCCATTAGCGGTAAATACAATCCCAGTAATCGACAACTTTTCAGGACGGAGCTCAATTCGCCAAATGGCGTTGTGTTCACAAAATCTCCTACAATACACCTTCTCATACGGCTTTAGTTGAAATCGCATCGGTATGGGAACATTCTCAATATAATGGTCCCTTCAGCTCTATTACTATTTTGGAGCAATTACCAAAGTATTGTGCATTATGCCTTTTAGGTTTTTGCTCGATACGCCTCCATATGTCAACAAAACGGTTTAGTACCGATTATCGAACCGGAAATTCTAACCGATGGCTCGCACGACT